CAGTCACACAGGAACACGGCCAGGGCTTTGGGTGTCTCCACACAAGGAGACTCCACAACCTCTCTGGGCAGCCTGGGCCATGCTCCATAACCCTCACACTCACAAAGCTTTTCCTTCTCTTCAGCTTGAACCTCCTGTGCTCCAGCTGGGGACCATTGCCCCTTGTCCTGGCATTGGCCATCCCAGAGCAGAGCCTGGCTCCTTCCTCCTGACACTGCCCTTTCCCAATGGATCCCCAGGAATGAGGGCACCCCTCAGTCTGCTCTGCTCCAAGCTCAAGAGCCCCAGCTCCCTCAGCCGCTCCTCAGCAGGAGATGCTCCACTCCCTCCATCATCTTTGTGGCCCTGCTGGACTCTTTCAAGCAGTTCCTGTCCTTCTTGAGCTGAGGGCCCAGAACTGGACACAAGATTGCAGATGTGGTGTGAGCAGGGCAGAGCAGAAGGGGAGGAGAACCTCTCTGACCTCCTCTCAGAGGAGGATTGCTCCCTCCCATCAATCTATCACAGGTGGTAAATAGGATAAATAGGAACTGCTGCTGCCCTGAATTTCAAACCAACCCTAAAAATACCCTACAAACCTCAAACTCTTGAGAGGCTTGTAGCTAAATGCAGTTGTAAAGATCTTTTTAAGAGGCCAGTGCTTTTTATAGATGTCTTTAGTGTGAGGTATTAGGTAATACAAAAAGTATTACCTTATTATTAGGTAATAATATGCCTTCAAGCTATTGTAAGAACTTCAGCACTGAGTCAGAATTTGTCAGCAATGAGAAATAAAGCTTTCACTTGATTTCCCAAGTAAGCCAGAGAGCAACAGAAATGTTTTCTCTTTAGAGAGGTAGTTATGGCTGTACTTAACATTAGAATAAAGGGCTGTTAAATGGATAGTCAAGAACTATAATCTATATGAAGAGTTAGTAGTATTGCATATGTAAGAGGAAAAGCAAAGCTTTTCTCCTGTTTTTCTAATCTTGATTTATTATGGAATATTTTTGTGAAATTCTTTTTTTATTCCCATTGTTATTACTTTTACCTTGTTTTAAGCCAGCTGTAAATTGCATTACTTTAATGGATTACTATTTATAGATTTTATTTTTTTTTAAAGTACAGTGTAAAATAAGAAAATATGACTGTGATACAACATAATATACTGAAGGCAATCAACATCACTAATTGCATTGCAATTAATGCCACTTGCTTACTTTACAGGACTAGTTTCATTGTCTTATGCCTGGCTTAAGCTGCCTATTCTTAGGGCTCTTAAGTGATAGGACTAATACTGAAACCACAACACGTTCATTCATAATTAGGTAGCTCCTAACTGGTAGGAGTGTAGGCACCAGCCAGCCCAAGAATAGAGTCCCTCTGTGTGTTATCAAACAGGACACTAGATTAACTGTCATAGAACAGCAAATAAGGAATCAGTGCCTAGCAGGACTAGAAATACAGTGCTTATGGGAGAGATACTTCCCAATCTCCACCTCCTTATAGCTGTATTTCTAAGTTAGCCAAAACCAGGGTTGTTTCTATGCAGATATAAAATATTTTGAAGTCTATGTGGTCTGATGCTTTTTTAAAAAAGCTTCTTTTTCTCATTAATGAAAATAACTAGGCTAATCTGGAGGAACAGAGTCTTTGCTAAAGATCGTTTGGGAAGATCAGAAGGAAGTCAAAGTGGGAGGTTTTTCAGTCCTTAACTGAATATCTGTAGTGCTTGATTTTGGAGCAAGAAACTCTATTTTCCAGGTTGACAGATGTTTGGGGCAGAGGAAAGCAAAAACGCAAAGCTCTGCACAAGCAGTCTGATATGCTGCTTATCAGCTGCTCAGGTTTCATTTTCCTGATTCATGCAGTATAGAGCCTTTCAGGAACGTCCAGGCTAAACTTTCGGTGTCAATATCAAAGCAGAAAGTTAGTTTTAAAAACTTCAAACTGACTTTCTGACTTATAAAACTAAGAAATGCAAACAAAGTGTTCTTCTATAAAACCTAAAATGTTCTGCTGAAATGTTTTCTTGCTGTTTTTAAAACAACTCGTTTAGCAAAAATGTGATTTTGCTAGCAAGTTGTGATGAAAATTACCTCAGACTTTGGGTTCTTCTTTTTGAAATATCTTATGGAATAAAGGCTGAATAATTTTTCCAGCTTTATAGAGGCCTTTAGTCTGAATGAGAAAATAGAGATAGAAATAAACGACAGTACGCAGGTTAGCACAGGAGCAATTTTTCCATTAAACAGTATTGAACATTCTTACATGTGTTGCCTTTGCCTTAATATAGAAAGGAAATGAAGGGAGTCTATTAAAGTAAGTGCTTATAGTTACATTTCTTCTCACCTGGAAAATTAATGCATAATTTCACAGTAAAGATTTTTCATTTATTCGGAAAAAGCTTACTTTTTTTGTGAAGACACTGTGGTTGGCTGACTGCTGGACTCACTTGCTAAATTTCAAATTGAAACATGCTTTATGAGTCTCAGAGAGAAGCCTCAGGCTTGCTTTCTTCTCCTAATGCAGCCCAGGATCCCACCAGCCTTCTTTGCAGCAAGGGCACATTGTGGTTGATGTTCAACTTGGTGTCCACCAGGACCCCAAGGTCCTTTGCTGCCAAGCTGCTTTCCAGCCGGTTGGCCCCCAGCATGGACTGGTGCATGGGCTTTGCACTTTCTCCTTGCTGCACTGGGTAGTTGGCCCCCAGCATGGACTGGTGAATGGAGTTGTTCCTACCCAGATGCAGGGCTTTGCACTTTCTCCTTGCTGCACTGGGTACGGTTCCTGTTGGTCTACTTCTCCAACCTCTCGAGGTTCCTCATTCACTCTGTTCTACTGTAAGACTTGTTAAAATCTGTCTGAAACCCCTCATCGCTGTCAGCTTCCTAAAAGGCCTGGAAATACAAACAGAACTGCAAACAGAATCAGTGGGCTGTGCAGGACTAAGCAGCTATTTGTTACAAATACTCTGATTAGGATTGTGCTAAGAGCAGGAAGTTGTAGTATGAAGCGGAGGAGGAAGAAGGACAGGAGAGCACCAGTACGGGTGTCAAGGTGCTATGGGTGCAAGGGAATACTAGGACTGTGCTAAGAGAAGGAAGTTGGAGTATGAAGCGGAGGAGGAAGAAGGACGGGAGAGCACCAGTATGGGTGTCAAGGTGCTATGGGTGCAAGGGAATAGGCAAGTATACCTCTGGACCTACTCATATTCCCCTGGCTGGGGACTAGGTGGGAGCTGGGTGGATCAAGGTCAAATGAAACATCAACCCAGTGTTGGAAATGTCTTTAAGTTCTGCTTGCTCATTCTTGTAACAAGTATATGGAGTAGGGGAGATATACTTGGGAAGCAGACAGAGCCTTCCCCTGGGATGACAGGAATGTACATTCCCTTGATTTATATTTTTACTCAAGGTGGAAGTTTTAAGAATTTCTACAGATATTTTTATTACTTTATTTTCAAGTTCCAGAAGCTTGACAGATCTTAAAAGTATAACATTTTTGTCTGTGTAAATCAAATATAATTCTTATAATCAGATACTTCACATTATGAAACAGAAAACAGAATTAGGAAATCATCCTAATTTGTTTATTTCTTTTCTACTGAACTGTTCTTAAACAGAAGCTATGGCAAAGTTTATCATTTGCTTTTGATTATTGCTCAGATAATTCACTGACTATAAATTGTCGGTGTATTTCCAGATATACTGGAAAACCAAAGATTGCCTCATCCAGCATTGACAAGTTGTAACTGTAAGTTAATTTTCCAAAGCATTTCCTCCTTTTTTGGAGGAATCAGTCTATTAGAGATTCATTCTGTTAAGGACGTGGCTGTTGAGTATCTCCCTTAAATACCACCTGTTTTTCTGAAACCTTGTGCAGATGGAGAATTCTGTTACCCATCATTCTATCCTCTCTTGAAGTGCATCTTTAACTGGACTTAAGCTTAAAAATAACAATGTATAATAACATGCCATCCCCATATCAGGGGTTTAGGAAGGAAGAATGTTGTATTTATTACAAAGTATATGGAGAATTTTGTGGAGGCAGTATGAAACTGCTCTAATTCAATTTTTGCTGGTATACCTGAATTTCTTGCTTGGAATGAGGGATGGGATATCTCTGGGGAGCCTGAAATGGTTAAAAGAATGCTTATATTCTTAATACTTCATTTGCTTCCAGGGGCAAATATGTTTGCTGGTCATGCTCTGAAGTTTTAGAAGATTCAGCATTACTACTGAATGCTGAGCTCCTAGGAGAGACGACACAGAAGGTTGTAATTTAGATTGAGGGAACACACGAGGCAAACCAAGCCCCAGAATGGAACAGGGATAGAAATGAGGCAAAAATGGAAACACTGGGAAAAGGGAAGATAAGAACAGAAATACTGGAGCAGAGCTGGAGTTGTGCAGGACTTTTTAATGGGAAGTGATTGTGCCCCTGTACTTGGCACTGGTGAGGCTACACCTCGAGTACTGTGTTGAGTTATGGGCCCCTCACTACAGGAAGGACATTGAGGCACTGGAACATGTCCAGAGAAGAGCAACAAAGCTGGTGAAGGGTCTGGAGAACAAGAATTATGAGGAGCAGCTGAGGGAATTGGGGTTGTTTAGCCTGGAAAAGAGGAGACTCAGGGGAGACCTTATTGCTCTCCACAACTACCTGAAAGGAGGTTGTACTGAGGTGGGTGTTGGTCTCTTTTCCCACAGAACTAGTGATGGGATAAGAGGAAATGGCCTCAATTTGCTCCGGGGCAGGTTTAGATTGGATATTAGGAAAAATTTCTTTACTGAAAGTGTGATCAAGCGCTGGAAGGGGCAGCCCAGGGAGGTGGTGGAGTCCCCATCCCTAGAGGTGTTCAAGAAGCGTGTGGATGTGGTGTAGTGGGCATGGTGGCGTTAGGTTGATGGTTGGACTTGATCTTAGAGGTCTCTTCCAACCTTCATGATTCTGTGATTCTGTGAATGTTAAATTGTACTTACCAAAGGATATTAACTGCCATACTTTTATTTCTATAGGAAGTTTATGGAGACTCATCTAAGAACAATTCCAAGTGATGCTTTTGCCAATCTCCCCAACATCTCTAGGATGTAAGTTCTGTTTCTGATATTATTCTTTTAGCTCTTTTATTAAAAATCCCTTTCCGTCTCCAAAATTCTGTCTTTTTACATGAAATCTTCTGAAATTAAAATATTCTTGCATCTTTGCTATGTCACCACTTACATTTTAGAACTGCAGGTAATCATCTCATTGTTCTAACCTGAGCCAGCTAGAGAAAGGCATATTAGGCTTTTTGGGATAAGAGCATACCTTTATTGAAGTAGATGTGATAAATAAGGCTATAATCTTTTTTTTTTTTCAGTTCACAAGATATGAGAAATGGTTTCATTCATAACAAATTAACATATTCTGTTGCTGGTCCTGGATAAAAATTTGTTTCCAGCTCTCAGCATGATTTGTAACTCATTTCATTGGAGACCCTGTGGCATTTCTAAACTAGAAATGGATCATCTATCACCCATATGTGCATGGCTATTGGATGCAGGGGACTCCTCTACCATCTCCTGATTCACTCCCTAGACTCAGAGCCATGCAATTTAGAAGGGACTTCAGGAGGCCTCTAATCCACCACCTGCTGGAAGTTGGGCCAACTACAGGGTCCAACCAGACTGCTCAGTGCTTTTTCCAGTCTGGTGCTCAGCTTTATGTGCCCACTGTTAACTACATAAACCACCTCATTCAGCGAGAGGCCTGCATTTTTCTTGCTCAGCCTTTTATTACTAATGTAGCAACAGGAGCTCTTCATGTTGTCCTTGACATTCCTTACAAGCCTCAGCTCCAGCTGAGCATTGGCTGAATGGCTGAGATGGGCTTCTATTTAAGACTTCATGAAACAGGGCTCTGGGGGAACATGGAGGTCAGTCTAATTATATTTTCTATTTTCATCCAAGTGTATTGAAGCAATGACTTTCTAAAATCCTTAGAAGTAATTGTTCTTGAATATCTGCAGCCCCATTTACCATCTCAGTTTAATCAGATAGATGATGTATTCTTTTGGAGGGTTTTAGGGGAAGAATGTCCCTCATACAATGTACAGTATTATGTATATTATATATAAACCTGATAAACTTTGTTCAAAACAGACTTTTATTAAATGTAGAAGTATGTCAAATCTTCTTTGGCTTTCAGTGACGCATTGCTTAAAAGCTTTTCAGATTTTAATTCTCAAATTGTAAAATGTATGCATTCATAAAAGCATAGGTGTTCATCTAAAGAATTCAGAGACCTCTTCTCTAAAGATGTCTGGCCTCCAAAAAACTTCCAGTGGCCAAAAGGCTGCTACACCAAATCTTCCTAATCTCCATGGGACCAGAGGTGAGGAAGGGCTATTTGCACTGCCTGTCTCTAGATCGGTTGGCAACCTTGTGAGCTAAAGACACTGCCACCTCATCTGCATGGGCATTATGAGTCAGTGACAAAGCCTATACCCTTTGGTAGTAACATGGTAACAGATAACCAGTCTGTTGCATGCTTTGATCTCATTCAAGTGAAGAGGGAAGTCAAAATTACAAGACGTTATAGTCTTGAATGAGATGAATGGGTGCTTTTTACACACCTTAAGGTAACATATTGACATCCATGTCATAGAATCATAGAATGTGTTGGGTTGGAAGGGACCATTAAAGCTCATCCAGTCCAACCCCTGCAGTCAGCAGGGACATTGGTACCACATCAGGTTGCTCAGAGTCCCATCCAGCCTGACCTTGAATATCTCCAGGGATGGGGCCTGCACCACCTCTCTGGGCAACCTGTGCCAGTGATCTACCCCCCTCATGTTGAAGAACTTTTACCTAATATCCAACCTAAATCTACCCTGCTCTAGTTTAAAACCATCGCCCCTTATCCTATTGCTGCACACCCTTGTAAACAGTCCCTCCCCAACTTTCCTGTAGGCCCCCTTCAGGTCCTGGAAGGTCGCTATAAGGTCTCCCTGCAGCCTTCTCTTCTCCAGGCTGAACAACCCGAACTCTCTCAGCCTGTCAGTTTATCTGGTTCATGATCTCAAGGCTACCTGGGCAAACAAATGTCAGTATCTCTCCCAAATTATTTTTCAAAGACAGTATCAGAATATGGGGTTTTACCATCCCACTACTCCACATTTATATGTAGGAAAATAGCATAGATGTAGTTGTAACCTACCTAAAGTTATGACCTGATGTGGTAGCATTACACTGTGCAATGCCTTCTGGATTACTACATTTCTTTTGTTAATTTTTAAAAGCCTATTAAGAATAGACAGTTGCTTAAATTTGAATAGTGTCAAAGCCCTTCTGGATTTTTCTTACAGCATGACTACTACTATAAATCATGAACTCCCACTTTCTTGATATAATCTTTGGGTTCAGTAGCTGTATTTTAACTACAGCTCTTGTGTGTTTCTTGCCTTGCAATGTACCACGTCTCATCTGCTTCTCCCAGCCCACAGTTTCCATCAGCAATGAAAATTACTGGATCATTCCTTGCTTTGTAAACTCAACTAGAAAATGTTCTGAAGTTTCAATAGCACAAACAGATATTTGCTGTTCCAAATATAGCACTTTATTTTGCTATATGGTTTCTACTATATAGTTTCCACAAATAAACCTTTTTTTTTCCTCTATCCTGAACAGAAAACTCAGTGGTCTTCTTTATGAACTTTGTTTAAACAAGAATTTTAGAGCTACTATTTATCTTAATGCATATCTGTGTAATTTGATAGCCAGAAGCAAAGACTGTTTCACTGTGCTGCTTTGGCACGGGAATGAAACAAAAGCATTTCAGTGAAATGCTCAAGTGCAAAGCAAATTCCTGTTAGAAATGCATCAGTGCACTGAAAAAAATGTTTTATAAGATATTCAGATACAAGAGAAATTTCTGGTTTATATCACTAAGCTTGCAAATTAGATGAAATCTTGGTAGAAGAGCTTTGTCAGGTATTTTCACCCCTACTGACTTAGGACAGGTTGAGCATCCACTATTTTTAAGGTCAAGGATAAGGAACCTTTTTCCTGGGCTCAGGACGATGATTTGGGGTGTGATTCATAAGTACCTCACAGACACCTGACCTGTGGCTCCCCAGGGAGTTTTCTCCACACAAAATAGCATCCCCACATCGCACAGTGCTCCCTGCCAGCATCCGCACTGGTTTGCTCCCACCCTCCCCTGCTCCCCAGTGCCAGCCCATACAGCACAGACCAGACCCAGAGCTTCCATTGCCTTGGGTGCTCCTGCTCGTCCTCTCTTACTGCACCCTACACCTCACCCAGCTGCCCTCCAGCAGCAACACAGGGGATGCTGAGGCAGGAAAAAGGCAAAGAGAGGCAGATAGAGGGACAGGGAAGAAAATAAGGGCAGAGAGAGGGCTTGGTGGCTACTGCCATGTGCTGAACTGCTTTAAATCCCCTGTTCTCGGGCTCTTTCTGAACAGGCAATGGTGATTAAAGAGTTAGAGCAGACCTTCTCTGAAGCTGTGCATTTGGTGTTTAAGCTATGACTGTACTCTCGATGGGTGTTGGAGGCATTTGGGAATCCTGTAAATTAAACACGGCTGGGAGGGAAAGAAGGTGCTGAATTGTAACACGCCTTCAACATGGGAATTTAAACACACTTTCCTTCTTTTTCTGGTGTAAGTCCTCCTTCCGTTTCTGGTGTCTGTCATTTTTTGTTTCTTACATTTAATGACTTGTGTTATTTGTTCATTAGCCAGAGCCCAAATATTTTCAGAGGCGCTCTGAACACTTGGAAGTAAATGTTTATGCACCATTAATACATTTGTCTGTTTGACATTCCTGTCTCAGGGGAGATTTTTAATGTGTTTGTATGATTTTTGGCTGTTTATCTAAATGACACTAAAGCAAATAAAACCACACATTTCCCTGTCATCAGTGCTGATGCAGTTTAATTAACGCAAACCAAAACACGCCTGCTTCTGGCGCAGAAGACTGCAGGTCAACACGCAAAGAAAATAAGCAGCTTCCTTCCCACTTTTGTCCTGCAGCTGAGAGATAGGAAACCATAACTCAGTCAGCTCCATGCCAGGCTGCAGAGGGAAAAATGCAACCTGCAGTGTGGTGGAAGGGCCCTGGTGGCTGTAGGGGTGAGGGAGAGGAGGATGAATCCTCATTGCTGCTCTTCTGCCTCTCATATGTGAGAAAAGAGCCCTTGTCTGATGTAAGGTGACCTGTTTTGATCAAGGAGCACACAGAAAGTACTCTCTGAGCCTCAGCTGCTCAGCATAGGGATGCAATGTTTGTTCATTCACTGGTTTTCATTTAACTTTCTTTAGCTTTTTGCTGCATAGAACAAACAACTATTTTTGTTATATCTCATTGATATAACCTCTCTTTTGGTATGTTAAAATGGAATAATTAATTTTCTGTTAAAGACTGAAACTCCAGTTTCCTAGGCAAGAGGCAATTATTGCTTAGAGGCAAACTAAATTAAAGCATCTCACATAAACCTCTAATACTCAATCACAGAGGCCCAGACTGGAAATACTTCCTTTATTGTATTCCTCTTTTATTTTTTGCTTCCTTCCTTTTGGAGGAGGCAAATAGCTTTGTAAAAGTAATATTACAGTGGAAAGAGAATCTGTCAGTCATACAATCTCTAGTAGTTGCTTTTCTGCTGTATTTTCAAATATCGTGACCAATAAAAAGTCGATCTCATGATAGAAGATTTAAAATTAGTTCAGGTAATATTAACTCCAGTGTGGAGAGGACATAAACTCCATGGGGACTGTTGGTGGTATTAGTCGCCTTCTGGTTGTTAGGACATGTGTGGGTCATAAAATAATTGCTACCATTTTTAAAAACATTTTAACTATTTTTTAATAGTCATTGAAAGAAATATAGATTTCCTAAAAAATTTCCACAAAAAGTACAAATCCGATCCATAGGTGATTGTATTAAAAACCCCTCCTCGGTTAAATGAGTGTATTTTAATTTGCTATTTACTATTATTACTGTTAATACTTTTAAAAATTAAAAGAATATTAAAAATATTTTCTGTTTTGAGAACGCAACCCAATTAGAATTGATGTAAAATCAATCAAATTGGGTATCATTTCAGTATGATCCTAAGATTTTGCAGGTCTACTGATTGGAGAGGAGGAAAGGCATATGATACAGTCTCTTTATTATTACAGTTGATTTGATTGTGACATCTAAAATGGACATCTAAGACTCTTCTAGTCAGTTTAATTTTGTGCATTTAAAATGATGCTCAAGTTGCTCAAGGTATGTGTAACCATGCAAAATATTAAAAGTTGAGTCACTGATTTCAGTCAAGAGTATCAAAAGATAGGACTTAAGCATAAAATAATAATAATAATTAATAATAATAATAATATGAGGATTATTATGATGATGCAAGGCATTCCAATTATTTTTAAAGATCTATACATTAGAAAGATGATATAAAATATTATTAGAAAAGGAAATAAAATACAGGAATACTCCTTTGAAATGCTATTCCAACAGTAGTGAATTTTAAAATTAAGAGATATTTTGAAAGACAGAATCAGATAATTTAACCCCCCCAAAAATGTTGGTTACCCTGAAAATCTGCAGTATTTAGTTGTAACACAACTTTACTTGCACTTCAAAGGCTTTACCAGCAGTTCCAGTACTATCATCCTTCTGATGCTGGTGATGAGACTCTAGAGCTCTTTTCCCATCCCATTCAACAGATCCCTAGCCATACATAGGCTACTCAGTCTAACCTGTGTGCAATGAAGTATTTCTTAAACTCGTTTGGTTTTGCTTCTCAGCCACATTACTCCCTCCACCCTTTACAACATTCACTGTATGGCTGGAGTTTCTCTCCACATTCACGTTAGAAGCTATTTTTGTCCTCAGCAACAGCAAAGCAGCATTTGCCCTGGTGATCCCTTTGCCCCTAAAGAAATCGTGGCAATTGTTGCAGTGATAGCCCAAGGACCATCTTTGTTTCTTTCCTTCCTTGTTAATTATTTGATATAGAGAAATATGCCAATTTACCTGAGGACTAGAGCCCCCTCGACATCTCCAAGGTGATCTTAAGTGGGGAAAAGAGAAGAAATGTGATCTGAAATGTGAAAACTGGATGCTTGCTTTTGCTGCATAAGAGTATTGGGTTGGGTTATTATTTAACTGTATTCTGCAGTAGAGTTTGCATCTAAAGCATCAGTCAAAATCAAATTTCTGTTAAAAGAGCCTCCTTCAGACACTGTCAGTATGAAAGAAGGGGAAGGACTCTATCAGAAAGTGATAGGCTGAGGGGTAAAGGTTTTAAACTGGAAGAGGGGAGATTCAGACTGGATATCAGGAAGAAATTCTTTACTGTGAGGGTGATGAGGCCTGGCCCAGGTTGCCCAGGGAAGCTGTGGGTGCCCCCTCCCTGGAGGTGTTCAAGGCCAGGTTGGACGGGGCTTTGGGCAACCTGGTCTGGTGGAGGTGTCCCTGCCCATGGCAGGGGTTGGACTGGATGAGCTTTGAGGTCCCTTCCAACCCAAACCACTCTGTGAGTCTATCTATGATTCTGTGTTTGGCAGTGTCATGAGAGTTGGATGAGAGAAAGAGAAGGAAAAATAAAGTGACATGATGGGCACTAGCCATGGCTCACCAAGGCCTAAGTCTTGTTTCTTGCTCTCTTTGCTGGTGTTTAGCTACATCTCCATTGATGAAACACTTCAGAGTCTGGAGGCTCATTCTTTCAGCAGTTTAAGTAAACTGGAAGAGGGCAGATTTAGGCTGGATATTAGGAAGAAACTCTTTACTGTGAGAGTGGTGAGGCCCTGGCCCAGGTTGCCCAGGGAAGCAGTGTTCAAGGCCAGGTTGGACGGGGCTTTGGGCAACCTGGTCTGGTGGAGGTGTCCCTGCCCATGGCAGGGGTTGGACTGGATGAGCTTTGAGGTCCCTTCCAACCCAAACCACTCTGTGAGTCTATCTATGATTCTGTGTTTGGCAGTGTCATGAGAGTTGGATGAGAGAAAGAGAAGGAAAAATAAAGTGACATGATGGGCACTAGCCATGGCTCACCAAGGCCTAAGTCTTGTTTCTTGCTCTCTTTGCTGGTGTTTAGCTACATCTCCATTGATGAAACACTTCAGAGTCTGGAGGCTCATTCTTTCAGCAGTTTAAGTAAAGTCACTCATATGTAAGTACTACAATTAAATACAGTGATAAAATAAATGTGAGAATGTGTGAAAATAACATACATGTTGACATTTGAGTTGTCATTCTTGTCTTATTTGTGGCTAAATATTCCTTTTTTCTCATTTTGTTTGTCTGTAATATGGAGTCAGCTCTTTTTTTCCCTAAAAAAATTTTCAGTTCCCTTGCTCTTCTGTATCCTCCTGTAGTGAAAAATATGTGGGGCTAAGAATGGCTTCTTAGCCTGGCTTGAAGGCAAGTTAAAATAAACTGACAGCTAAGAATTACTTCTGTCAAATTATTGAAGGTAAGTGAAAAAAAAGTAATATAAGCACCAGAAATAACATCAGAAAGCACAGAGCAAAATGGCACTAGCTGGAGACATGAAGAATTACAAGTAACCATTCTGGAAGTACACAAATGGTAAAATTAAGGATCTTGGTCTGGCTTTTAAGTAGAATGGAAATGCTATGGACAAAGGCTTCTAGGAAGTGTTTTGTACTTACTTGTCTGATCAGTCCTCTCCAAATGATGCACTAGGGCACATACAAAAGTGGTAGGATATGGGTGTCTGGGTCACTCAGCATTACCTTGTCAAAATAAGAAGGTAATGTACTGACTAGGGCTTCATAGGATCCATCCAGCATCCAAAGGCAATCAAAAGGGACTTTAGGGCACTGGGGTGACTGATTGAAGGATATAAAGCATGTTTATATTCCTGCCTGTGTCCCTTGCCATCAGCATCCATCTGTGCCACGGCTCCTCCCTTTCTCCCAGCAGTCAGGCCAGAACTCACTGGCAAGGTCCAAAATTGCTGCATGATCACAGCCATGCCAGATCCTGGGCCTGGATGTGACTGGGAAGGTGCAGGAGAAGTCCCAAGCACCAGCACCCACGGCACCTATGGCATGAGCTGTGGGGAGGAGGTTTCCTGATACAGGGTTATGGGTTATGTGGTATGGATCCCCTTATATTTCTCACAAAGCAAGATAAAAAACATAAAACAAAAAATCCCTGTACACAGACATACAAGATAGACCTTTTCTTTCTGCACTAGAGCTAAAAATGCTACTTAGGACAAGAGACCAGAAGTCTATGGACAAAAGCTATAGGCAAACCTCAAACCTTTGCAGACAGCCCATGAATGAGGGCTACCTCTACTACTGTGCTTACCACACTGCGAAAAGCTGTTTGGAGATTTAATCTATTATTTAATCAGGGAATATCCAGGCATCTGGCAAATTAAACAGTTGCATATAAGCTATAAAAGAAAGCAATTTATAAATGTGACCATGTAACTGAAATGCTTCTATAACTCCTCTATAACACTTACCGTTGTTCAGATTGATTTACTTTCCAAATAACAAGATTATTCAGGGATAAATGTATATGCTGTGCTATGTATTTGTTGAATTTTCTCCACTTACATAGTATTTTCAAAGTATTCTTGCTAAAATACTACTGGCTAAAGATTATCGTATGGTATTTTAAAGATGGCTGAAGTTACCGTAACAGTTTTAAAAAGCAGTCATTTCACAGTCCAGTTTTCACAGGTTGTTTTTCGTGGACTTCTCTAAAGTGCAGTTTTATGTAAATAATCATTTTACCCTAATTTAAACTTATAAGCATAGTTTCATTTTAAAAACATTTGTTTTTCTACAGAACTTCTTATGAGAAAAATTAGTGTTTATGGAAGGGAAGAACTAATTGCTTTGGCTTGAGTCGAGTGTCCTGTGAACAGGCATCCTGTGATCAGCATCATTCCTGTCTGCCAAGTCTGTTAGAGTGCTTCAGTTTTGATCTTCAGCACTCCATTTTCCTGGTCCTTATTCACTCCATGTGGCTCTGTCCTGGCTTTCTGCTCCCTCCGGACCTCAGGTCCATGCTCTATGTATGCAGCTCACCCCTGTTCCCATAAGACCATATTTTTATGAACCTAATCCTCTTGAATGCTGAGCATTAAGCATCTCCTGCTGAGGAGCGGCTGAGGGAGCTGGGGCTCTTGAGCTTGGAGCAGAGGAGACTGAGGGGTGCCCTCATTCCTGGGGATCCATTGGGAAAGGGCAGTGTCAGGAGGAAGGAGCCAGGCTCTGCTCTGGGATGGCCAATGCCAGGACAAGGGGCAATGGTCCCAAGCTGGAGCACAGGAGGTTCAAGCTGAAGAGAAGGAAAAGCTTTGTGAGTGTGAGGGTTATGGAGCATGGCCCAGGCTGCCCAGAGAGGTTGTGGAGTCTCCTTGTCTGCAGACACCCAAAGCCCTGGCCGTGTTCCTGTGTGACTGCTCTGGTGATCCTGCTGTGGCAGGGGTTGCACTGGGGGAGCTTTCCAGGTCCCTTCCAACTCCTCACATTCTGAGATTCTGTGAAACTCTGCAACCTGAGGCTGCTGATCACCTGCTGTATTTTAATGAGCCAGATCTCATTTTGGTTGTAAAGAATCGCAAAATTCTCACTCTAGGAAAATGAAAATCAGGACCAAGACTTTGTTTCCCTCCACTCCCCAGTTGTGATAAACTGGTCTCACGATGGTTTCTTATTCCTTCTGTTTGTCTGTCTGTACCATTTGTATGTCTGGGAGACAAACTTAACATGGTTATGAATTCAGGACTGTCTTTGCCATACAGTGGCATAAGTATTTTTTCTAGGTACACTTCTGAAAGTGTCCGATTAGCAGTCAGTGTCTCTGTGGAGTTGTCTTACTAGAAGAGTTACAGCTTGATAGCATTAGACTAAAAAGCTTTTGTAATCAAAATTGTTTCTCAGGAAATAATTACCACAGAAGCAACCACAGAAAAAGTCACTCTCTTTTCCCCTTCTCTGTGTCTCTGCCCACTCTCCTCTGATCTCTCCCTCATTTCTCTCCAGTCCCTTCTCCTCACTCCAAAACTTCTCTCCTCTCCTACAACCACATGAAAAGCCCTTTCAGCATTTGGGAACTGGGCCAAAAGGTTATGATTCAAGTGGCTTGCCCTCGTATATGCATCATTTGGAGATCTGCTGGGGACAGCTCTCCATCTCTGGCACTGAGCTGTAGCCAACCGGAGCCAAGGGCTGAGGCATCCATGACCCCATCCTTGGGTCTCAGAATGGAGTGACCTGAGCCATCTTTTAGATCCATTTATGAGTTCTATAAAAGAGACAGCAAAAATAATACAAAATACTGTTTGAGACATGAAGGGAGTAACCAGGAAAATAGGACATAAAACTATTAGCTAAAGAGATGGTTGTAAATCGACAGGATTATTATACATCAATCCTGTAAGTTTTGCTGAGCTTTTCTTCTTTGCACTCATAAAACAAAACCAAAACTCTCACCATGTTCGAAGTAATAACCATAACCATAGGCTATTACTTTGATTTTAGGACCAAAGGATCAAATTTTGGTCCTTCTTCCCCCTACCCAGTCTCCAAGACCCTATCCAGATGATGATTCAGCATTGTAAGCTGGCTCAGAATGCACAGTGGCCCTGGGCTAGTGCTGGCCAGTGCAGAAGCCCATTGCAGGAATCAGTTCCCTAAAATTTCATTTGAACATTGCAGGTTTCCGTTATAATGAATAAATATTAATGATCAGTGTGGTAATGTTCCTCCTTTTTATTTTTTACAGTGAAATTCGAAATCTTAGAAACTTGGATTACATAGACCCAGACGCCTTTAAGAACCTCCCACTGCTGAAATACCTGTAAGTATTTGGCATCTGCAAGCAGTCGGTACTTGAGCCGCTCAGATGACTCTTCAGGTTATGGAAGTTTTGTCTCTTTGCATTTAATTTTGGAACTGGTTGCAGTGTTGTTCCCCTTTGCTTTATTTATTGTAATGACGGAAAGCAAGCCAGGGTAGGGGTTGGAACTTGGACCATGTCTGCAAGAAAGGAAAACACGTTCACAAATTTATCAGCAATTTTGCTATTCTTCTTATCCATTAAATGTCTGGGATACACTAATGTTTCCTTGGCAAAATACCACAGCTAGCTTTCTGCTAGTGATAAGAGCTGTCTTACTGTATTTTTGTAGGGAATAGTAGGGACACAATAGAAATATACACATCTTTTCTATTTACTAGATATTTACACAAGGTATTAAGTATCTGCCAGCTAAGTGTGACAAGCCCACCCATAGACAGCTGATTTCATAGGCTTCTATGGCAGAAAGAAATCTTGAGGACTGTCCCATGAATTTTCTAAAGAGACACACAGAGTAATGAGACCATGAAAATTGAAAATTTTACCATAGGAAAGAGAGGAAGAGAAAGAGAACAATTTCTGTGATTGTGAATAATCTTTGGAAGACTTTAGAAAGGGCTCCATGTGTGCATGTGGCAGTGCTGAGGGGGAAAGATCTTCCAGATTTTTTTTCCTATACATCTGAAAGCAATGAAAAGAAAGTCTAAACAATTTCATTTCAGGAGAACAGTTGTGAAAATCAAGAACTGGAATTTCTTAAGTTATTTCCACTCTGCAGAAGTTCAGAAATAAGGGGCACTAACTGTACCCCTGTTAGAAGACAGTTAGAAGACTTTGGAGAGATCTTTGAACAGCACAGCCTCAATGAAAGACAGAAGATTTGGGGATCCAGACTATTGTTTGAAGCTGCTTTAATCTCCCAAGTGAATTCAGAGTTGTAATTTTTTGCTCCCTATCCACCTCATAGGCTACTTCCCTCTGCAGACCTGCTTAGCTGTCTTATTATGCTGTGTTCTACATTTTAGATTCTATAATTTATCCTAAATCTGGTATTTGTAATTGTTCTTACATCCTTATATTTTGGACAGTTGATTACAAATCAGTTGATTGACAGTAAAGAGGACGAAGTAGCCAACCTGCTGTGTTGGATGCTTTAAATACAGTGTGTGTTGTTCTTCAGTGACCCAGTGCACGTAATTCTTTGTTTCTTCTCTCTTTCAAGTGGTATTTTTAATACGGGACTCAAAATATTTCCAGACCTCACCAAAATCTACTCGTCTGATGTGAACTTCTTACTGTAAGTATCTGTCCTCATAGCTGGTTACAATACTGCCATCCTCAGAGAATAAAAACTCTATAGCAAAGGCTTCTTTTTGGAGAAAAAGACCAAATAAGTCTGACAAAGCACTTTTCCTCAAGCCACACTTCAATGATGATTAGTAGCAGATCTGGAAAATGCCAGGTCTATAAATTGAATATATCAATATGCTAGCACTATAAATTTGACCTGGATGCGACACAGACACACAAGCACATTTCTATAGAACTAGTCAAAGTGCACGACACACAATTTCTACAGGTCTTTTGCTTTTATTTTGTTTTTGTAATGGTTGTGCAATACCTGAATCAGTCTGAAGTCAGAACAGTGTAACACACAGGACCTGATCTGACATACACAGGGCCACAGAGATGCTGGAGGGAGTGGAGCATCTCCTGCTGAGGAGCGGCTGAGGGAGCTGGGGCTCTTGAGCTTGGAGCAGAGGAGACTGAGGGGTGCCCTCATTCCTGGGGATCCATTGGGAAAGGGCAGTGTCAGGAGGAAGGAGCCAGGCTCTGCTCTGGGATGGCCAATGCCAGGACAAGGGGCAATGGTCCCAAGCTGGAGCACAGGAGGCTCAAGCTGAAGAGAAGGAAAAGCTTTGTGAGTGTGAGGGTTATGGAGCATGGCCCAGGCTGCCCAGAGAGGTTGTGGAGTCTCCTTGTCTGCAGACACCCAAAGCCCTGGCCGTGTTCCTGTGTGACTGCTCTGGTGATCCTGCTGTGGCAGGGGTTGCGCTGGGGGAGCTTTCCAGGGCCCTTCCAGCTCCTCACATTCTGGGATTCTGTAATAATTAAATTGTTCTGGAGAAGCCATCAGGCAGTTGTTTGACTGTGTTGTTTTGTCTCCTTTTTCAGGGAAATTGCAGATAATCCTTTCATTACTTCAGTGCCTGCAAATGCTTTCCATGGGCTTTGTAACGAATCTCTAACTCTGTAAGTTCTTCCAGTTTAAGTCACAAGGCAATTACCTTGCCTTTCAACTCAAGCACATGCTAAAATGTTTAAAAAAAAAAAATGAATAGGAATTTGTAACAGAGAAACACCATACACAGGCAGCATCCATGATCTAGTTTGCATCAAGCCTTTACTTTGACACTGATTTGAATCAGGCCAGCTGCTTTTCTTTAAACTGGCTTGACCAAAGTGTGTTTGCTTTTGTATAACCCTAATGCCACTAAGTTGTTATATTGGAGAAAATGGGGAAAAGGGAAAAAATTGCAGAGTTCTATAAAGCCGCAACATGGTTAGAACTGTGTGTGTGGTATTTAAAAATACCATGAATAGTAATGGGTGAAAAGTGTCAGAGAAGTCATAATTGAGGGGAAAATTGAGAAATAAAGTTCAATTATGCAAGTCATAGCGTGAGCCACAAGAAACGGGAGGTGAAGGGAGAACAACTGTAATGGGTTATGACCCGAACTAGAGAGGAGAGCACTAAAATGAAAATGAATTAATTCTAAAGAAATCCTAAAAATTATCCATTTGCTCTAAGAAAGCAAAAGAGTAAAATCTAAAAATTCAGGCAGGCTTGATAGCCATTCATCATTCAACCGTACCTGTTTTGCTATCTATTATTTCCTTTAGCCTTCCTTAACCAGTCCTAGCAGAACGCTATTTCCCTGGTTTTAGTTTGAGGGTGGCACAGTTACAGAAAAGTGCTTCAGCCCAGTTCTCTTTGCTGTAAAAAGCAGTAAAAGCTGGCACACCTGCTACATGGCATTCGTGGTTCAGCTGTGCTTGAGAATGCTGGGCATTTATTTGGCCTCACGTTATAATTGCTGCTTCTTCAAGAGATTAAAACAAACTCATCCATAAAATGTGCAGTTGGCAAGAAAAATGATACCTAAGATTTGGGGTATTCAGTTATTGAAGCAAAAATACACCATTTTTATTGGTTGGGTTTTTTTTGCTTGCAGCAAACTCTACAATAACGGTTTTACCAGCATCCAAGGCCACGCTTTTAATGGGACAAATCTGGATGCCATGTAAGTAGCAGATCATTCACTTCTTTCAGGAAATATATATATATATATACACACCTGAATACTCTATGCTTGTTTGAGGCTCTCAAATACATATCTTTAATTATTTTTAAGGAGCAAAGAGAGGATATTAATTTCAGCCAGCAATAAAAATATGGGCACTTAATGCCTTTTGCAGTGTTCTTTCCTTTGGGATATATATTATAATTCAGAAATAAAATCATGGCAGGTAATTCCAGTGTGAGTTTTGTTTAACTTTCTGGCTTGAAGCTACAATAAAATTGCTTTTGGTAAGTAAGATTTCTAAGACATTTTGGGGATAATTGTGCTGTTTAACTTACAAGGCAGTTGTGAGTGAATATCCTCTTTACACTATATCCAAAATAATCTGCCCTGATCATTAACACACAACAAATCTCCAAAGATCCCAGAGGCTCCATTTGCTGTGGCAGAGCTTCCTCTGCTTCCTACTCCTTGACTGAAATCTGGCTGGAAATCTCACAACTGAAGAGATTTCTTCACTGGGAGCTCTTAAATTAACCAGAGTGTCATGAGGATAGATATTCTTTTCAATATTTTAGTTTAAATTGGGCTTGGATTCTGTAAGAGCATCCTTCACATGGTCTTAACATTTCCTAATTACCTTTTCTTCCTTAACAGCTAACCAGACTGGATTTTTTTAATTGAAATTTTGAATTTTGGAATTTTTTTGAATTGAAAACTTTCTTGAATTTTGAAAAGGTTGAGTTAGCTCTTCTTTTACTCACATTAGTTCAGTTACTTGGAGCCTTCACATGAAGAAGGAAGTTTTCCATGCTGACACAGCGTTGGTACTGGTGCCCACAGAAATCACAAGATGTAGAATATTGCAAAATGAATCTGGTGTCTGGGCTGAATCCCTCTAAACTCTATATGCAATACGCAAAATCTTTCTAAGCCTCAGCCAAAATATGAGCTGTGCTGGCTCTTCCACTTCTTATGTTTTGATGAAACACAGGTTGGAGATGATTTTACAGGAAATTTTGCTTCTCTGACAGCATGCAAGCACTATTGCTTCTGGCCTCTCTGGATTTTTCCTTACTGTTAAGAAATCAAGTGAAAATGTAGCTTTAGAAGATCTGGAGTCCTAAACACCCGCTTTATTGGCCTGGGTGGAAGTAGAGAAGCAGAAAACACACAGCAGGTTCTGCAGATACTGCTTGCTTAGTTTTGGAAGAAGTTAGTAATTAGTTTTCTCTATGTGAATCTTCCCAGAGACTGACTACGATGCACTAGTTAAGTAAATTTAAAAAACAAATAAACAAGGAAAAAACCAAATAAACCAAAAGAACTCAAAGCAAGCTTACCTTCAGGGCTTTGTCTACCAGCACTAAAAATGGTTCATTACAAAAAGCCAGTTCTCCTGATTAAATCGCATGACATTTACCTGGAGCGAAGCGCTACTCCAGATTTACAAGGCAACCAGGGAGCTGAACAGCAGTGGTAAAACCTTTATCTGTTTAATAAACTACGCTGAAATGTCTAAACTAATTTTCTGGAGTAGTTTGGTTACCATATGCCAAGATAAGGTATAATTTTGCTAAGTGCAAGCTTGAAGATTTGTTTCTATCAGCAGCATTAAGTTAATGCAAAGGGCAAATATTTCATTTTCTGTATTCTGACATTCCTCATTTGAACTCCTGTTTATCTACCACTGTGCAGTGAAGAAAGTACCTGTTTTCCTCTGGGGCTGACCCAAGCCCTTTGGGTTTGATGAAACGAGGAGTAAAAGGACTTGATGAAACTAGGAGAAAAAGAGTGAGGGAAAGACATTTTAATGGGTTTTAAATTATACCCTGAAGGAAACCAATCCAAAACAAGAATTCATTGTTGAGAAACCATGTGAAGACTCTGTTCCATCTATAAATCAGATGTTTTGGGAATCTCAGAGGGTGCCTTTACCATGCAGTGTGCCTTTCCACCACTCTCGCAGTATTAAAGACTGATGTAATTCAAGGAGGTGAAGCCAATCAATGGAGGTGTATGCATGGAGCCGTGCATAAATGGTTTGTTATCATACTGAATAATGGCACTACCTACTACATCTTCTCATCCAATAAGGATCTGTGTTGTATATGAAACAAGAAGGATCTGTGTTGTATATTAAACACGAGTATCGCTGTGTATGTTTGACAAAGGCAGGGAAGTACAGAGCCATGAATGAAGGGCTGAACAGCATTTAACTGAAATGTGAATCCCTCAGTCTAACAGATCATTAAGAGCCTTGAACTGCATCACCCCTGCAGACTTCTGCAAAGCGCTGCTCCTGCACTGATGTTTATTTCTGTCAGGAAATCGGTGAGGAAAGATTTAAAAAAAAAAATAAAATGAAATTAATGGCAAAATATATTTGTGATGAGATTTTACAGAGTTGTCTAAATTGCTGAAATGGAAAGCATACGATCTCAAAATCTGATTACAAAAATAAACTCCCAAAGAATATATTTACTTTGGTATACTCTCACAGGGATTTATAATGCTTGGCTGAGCTGAGTCAAGATAAACAACGGCACAGAAAAAACATAAGATGAATCCTTAACAGCGCTCATTTACCAACACATCCCTTTTGCCTGTTGTCCCTTTCTCTAACCTTCAATTCCTAATGCAACAAGATGCATGAATACATCAACATGTTGCATGTCCAGAGGCCATTCTTTTTCTCCTTGCTTAAGCTCTTATTTTAAAATCACAGTTACTATCAAATAATACATATTATATATAGAGATATATTTACATATATATATTTAGCCAGTGGGTGTTCTGACTAGGAACTTCAGTAACTTTATGTGGTTTTGAACTAAGTGATCCTTTGGGAGAAAATTCTGCAAAACCTCCCTTTTTCCCTGTTCATTCTTCACAGAATCACAGAATCGCTCGGTTGGAAAAGCCCTCTGAGATCATCACGTCCAACCGTTCCTGTCTACCCCCTAAACCATATCCTTAAGTACCTCATCTACCCGCTCCTTAAACACATCCAGGGATGGTGACTCCACCACCTCCCTGGGCAGCCTGTTCCAGCTTCTGACGACCCTCTCAGTAAAGAACTTCCTCCTTAGCTCTAACCTGAACCTCCCTTGGCACAGCTTGGTGCCATTTCCCCTTGTTCTATCCCCATCACCTGGGAGAAGAGACCAGCACCCACCTCTCTACATTCTCACTCCATCACTCCCTGTCCTGATAAAATCAGTTGTGGGACCGCAGTAAACCCTATCAGTGAAATAACCCAGCTTAAAAATCACATCCATTGATAAAGGTGTGTCCAGCTCTAATATGGGGAGTGGCAGGAATGGCCTTGGGCTATGGAAGAAGAGAAAAAAAATACAGTATTTAGTAAAAATACCTTCAGACACTTCAGCATTTTGTCCAGTTTTTCATCTCAGCTGAAGATTTTGAATCTTCAGGATTTTATTTTTCTTCTGCCATCTTTTGCTTTTCACATTTACTCTCTATCTCCAAATCAGTGTCCTTAAAGGCATCTCAGAGCTTTCAAATTTTTGTGTATGTTTTAGGAAAGTTTCCTCATACTTGTGTATTTCTCCTTTTTGGAAACTACAGCCATGCTGTATTCTTTGGCTTTTTTTGGTCCTAGGGTTGATGAATCTCAGTCCCTGGTGGTTCCTTTTATAAACCAGACTGTAACTTTGAGACAGATTCCGCGTGCCCCTCAAGCTGAGGTCAGAAGTTGCTTTTCCTGCTGTGGACTCTCTAACCTGCTGGATTATGAAGTGTGCACTGGTCACGTCTGAACGCTCAGCACCTGTCATACTGAGATGTTTTACACAGCAGTTTTCCTCATACCTGTGTATTTCTCCTTTTCGGAGACTACAGCCGTGCTGTATTCTTTGGCTTTTTTGGTCCTAGGGTTGATGAATCTCAGTCCCTGGTGGTTCCTTTTATAAACCAGACTGTAACTTTGAGACAGATTCCGCGTGCCCCTCAAGCTGAGGTCAGAAGTTGCTTTTCCTGCTGTGGACTCTCTAACCTGCTGGATTATGAAGTGTGCACTGGTCACGTCTGAACGCTCAGCACCTGTCATACTGAGATGTTTTACACAGCAGTTTAAATGCCCCATTACTGCAGCCTTCTTGTTGTCCTGCTGCAGCTGAGATTTAATGCAGTATTTTTCCCACTTGCCCCTGGATCTCGAGGCCATAGAGACTCTGTATTACTCGCTGGCATGGTTACCTTATTGATCTGATTATTTTTTTCTAAAGAAGGGCCTAATTTTACTTACAGCTCTATGAAACCACTGGCATATACTACTCCAGATTAATGCATGCTTTGCACCGTATTCATGTCTAGCTCACTGCCTTTCCGAAGTGGCTGTTATCCTCGTGTCCCCACTGAGGGTGGATATTCCACTGCACCCATGTGCTTTCTAAGACATCCAACATCTGTTCAGGCACCTGGGTATCAATGATGTGTTTTTATTTTCTGCAGTGTATTTACATTCATTACATATTTTATATTTAAATACTATATATTATGCATTA